CTCCCCATGCTGCCTTGCAGAACAGTCCAAATTCAGGCTGTGGTGCAAACTGCTGAACACCCAGTGGGAGGTGTTTACACAAACAAAGCAGGGGAGACATCACCAGTCATTTTCCTGCTTGTTTCTGGGGAGCAGGACCAGAGCAGGATAAAAATGAATCGGCAGAGTGGTCAGCGGGCTGGCCAGCCTTCCTGCGTAACGTGAGCCTGAACTCTCCTAGGCTCCCTGTTCAGCTCTCTTGACAGTCAGGGTATGAACATGATTAATCACCTTTTTCAAAGTCAGGAAAAAAGCAGTGAGGGTGCCTGGCAGGGCCACACCCTGGGTCCCAGGCCCTCACCCCTGACCAGTAGGCAGGAAGGCACCCTTCATGAGCTGTCTGGGGCCCTGCCCCTAATTGCTCCTGGCCTTCCCTGCAACATGCCCATTCTCTGCAATGGAAAGGAAGTAGCTTGCCCTTCAGAACTCTTGCCACCTCCCAGCTTTGTCTCGAGCCAGAGGCAGCCCCCTCTTCTCTTGCCTTCATCCCTATACCCAACTATAGCTGTATTATCTGAGTGGGAGGCAGGAAGGCAGGGTGCCAGGAAGCAGCTGGTGTTCAGCTGTATCTGCATTGGAAGCTCCTGAGGGCAGCGCTGGCCTGGGAGTGCCCATGCCCACCAACAGGGGTTAAAGCCCAGAGTCCTAGAGGCCTTGCTGGGTCCCTGGCCCTTATAAAAGCCTTTGACTTCCGTTCCCCGGGCTACTTCAGGCTCCCTGGCTGAAATCTGATAAGGGGCCTCTTTGTTGCAACTGTCAGACTCCTTTATTGAGCAGGGAACTGGAGACTAGCGGCATTTCTTGGGGTGCAGATAAGGCCCTGGGTTCCTGTCAGGGAGAACATGATTAATTACCCTCAATCCTAGCTCCTGCTTTCATAGCAGTGACTGACAGTCTGCAGGCTTCCCCACCAGGTGCCCCCTAGGCATGTCAGGGTGGAGATATGGCCTCCTGCAGGGCCACACGAGTGACCCACACAGCTCTCTCCAGTGGGTGTCTGCAGGCTGCTTTTGCATTGATTGTGGGCACAGGCTTGCCACTGTGGGTGAAGAGCCTCCCAGAGCAGGTTGTGGTCCAGCCCAGAGAGCAGATGGAGTCCCCATCTCTTCTCTGAAGGGCTAGGAGGAACCATTGGTTGTGGACTTGAGCTTCACTGACCTTGTCTTAAGTATGTTAGGGGTCCCTTCCCTGGAAAAGATCCCAAATTGCTCATTACAAGAGCCCTTAATTCAGACAAGCTCCATAAGCCAAGTCATTCTCCCTTTGGGAATAATTACAATTATAAATTTTTGTTTTGATTTTTTATTCATAGGCCCTTAAGACTTGAGAACTCAGTCATCTAGTGCAAATTTCTCATTTCACTGATGAGAAAACTGAGGCAAGAAGTGTTGGTCCCCCACATCCACCCCCCAGTAGTATGTATTTTTGGACAGGGGAGATGGCTGCCGGGGCCACCAGCACAAAGCTAACTGCCCAAGATCCAGTTGTCTTTCTCATTTGTCAGAATTGAAGCCAGAGCAGGTGTTTGTGTCTGCGTCATCCAGATAGGTACACATGCTCACCTAAAGCTACACTTGGGACAGCCTCAGCTGTCTTCAACAATGAGCCGCTCTAACCCTTTAACAGAGGGTCAGCTGCAGGGTGCAGCACTGATCTCCTTATTTACTTAGTCTCCAGAGCCAGGGTGCCCGATAGAGGGGCCCTATGCAGGGAGGGTACACTGTGGGGTATGGGAAAGCAGGGCTGTGGAGCACCCAGGATGCCACCAACCTTCCTGTGTACCCGGCTCCTCTGGGAGTTTCCAGGAGTGACTGCTCTCTCTGTCTCCCTCAGGTGCTGGAGACAGGCCAGCTGACAGCCACTAGCAACTGCTAGCTGCTACTGACAGCCTTAGGTCCTCTCTTGCCTCCTCAGGTCCTATGCTCACCCTTGCTTCCCTTCCCTAGGCATTTCTCAAGCTCCTGAATCACTGTGGCTGTGGAGACTTTGACTTATAATGAAATTTCTGCATTGGTAACCGTGTTGCCCTTCAAAGCTGCTATCTGAAATGGCTGGATAGTTAGTGTAGTGACTTCTCGAGATGGACATATGATCCTCTCTAAGGAGCTCCTTCCTAGGCCATGTGAGCCACTCTGGAAATCTATGGTTTATGTCCACCCTGCATCTTTGGTACAACCCAGTATATGCAGCCTGCCCCTCCATCCTGTTTGCTGTCTGCCTCTGGATGAATGACGACTGTTTCCAGAAGTGAAACCTGTTGTCTGTGTCTAAAGATTTACCGCCCCTGAGGAAATCAGCAGGAAACAGTGTAGTCTGAAAGCTGCTCAGAGATGCAGTTCTGAACCCATGTGTTATCTGGCTGTCCAGGGTGACCTTCTTAAGGACTGCACTTGCTCAGTTGGGCAAGCCTTGCTGTGCCATAGATGCCCTAGGCGCTTACACTCAGCCACCTGGTTTCCCTTCCTTGAGGCCCTGCTGTATGGAGTCCTGGTTCCTTGACTTTCTCAAAATCCTAAACCCATCTGTTCTGTTGCTGGTTCTCTTGCTGTGGGACTTGGAAGCAAACAGCTGAAACACTCTGGGCCTCACCTCCCCCGGCTGTTTAATGGTGATTGTGACCCATTAGAACCTGAGAGGGGAAGTGACTTCTGGTCAGGGCTGTCAGTATAGATACTCAGAACAGGTCTCCACAAGCATGGGTGCTGTGGGGAATGTTCCCAGGTGAGCTCCCTTGGAGCCAGTTCTCTCACTCTGAGCAGCATGATTTTTAGTCTGCATGGGAGGCCCATTAATATTAGCCACCATAATATTGGAGGCTGATAAAGGGCAGACCTGGCTTCACAGAGCTGACCATCCTCCTGGGTTGCCACACAGACATACAAGAAACATTTAGAGAGGAATTATTTCCTGCATTTGTTGGAGAGTCCTAGAACTTCTGAGAGGGAAGAAACTGGGGTAGTTGGAGAGTTCTCCCTTGAGGGAGAGTGGACATGGAAGGAGGGTGGGGGGCTCAAGTGGAGGCAGGTGGTTTCCAGCCCAAACAGCGGCTGGGTCACAGAGGCAAAGTGAGCGTGGCGGGAGGGGTTGGTGAGAAGGCAGTGATAGGAGTTGGTGGGATATGTTTGAGTGTTTCATGCATGGTGAACAGCATGGCAGACCTGGGTCATGTGACTGGATGTGCTGGTGATCAGTGAGTGTCATTGGAGGTTTTTAAACAAGGAAGTGGGTGTTGTGGTTGAAGCAGCATTTTAATAAGACTGGCAGTGGTATGTGAGGCAAGCGTGTGGCTAGAGGCCACTACAGTCTAATGGTAAACCAGTAACCAGAAAGGGCCTGGGCCTGGGTGGTGACCCAGCAAGAACATTACCCTCAAGAGAAGCCTCCAGGAAGAATCAGTGGAGCCTTAACAGCCTGGGATTGGGTGGTAAAAGACAAGCAGAGCCGCTGCTCATTGGTGTCTCTGGAGACAATGAAGGTGATGGGAGAAGGAACAGGAATGAAGGTGAGGTCAGTGTGGACATCCAACTCAGAGGTGAACAGCACATGTATGTAGATGCTGGAGAAGTCAGGTAGTGGCCTGTGTGAGGGGACCTTGGCATGTCCTCCCAGCCCTCTAAGTGATGCCACGGAAAGTGTGGGGTCACTGCAGCAGGGCATGTGTCAGGCACACAGGCCTTTGAAAAGAAGTGGTGCGCCACCATCCCTGCCTGCCATTGGCCAAGCCCACCACCTCAGGCTTTTCTCTGTGGTCAGAGTAAGGTCCACTGGCTGGTCAAGAAAAAGGTCTCCAAGCATGTTGGTTCCCTCCCCATCTTAGAAAAGAGGCACTGTCCTACCATAGCACCCCACATGTCTATGTACATAGGCTGCCTTTTGCTTCCTTCTGTAACCGAATAGTCCTGTAAGAGAGAGCGGGGCAGGCAGGCAATTCTGGGTAGGGAAGAAAATGCCTGCGTTAGAGGAGAGAAAACAGGAGGACCGCAAACCAAACAGGCTCAACACCGCCAGGCAGCTCAGTGGGACCTCAGCATGGTGGGGGAAGGGAGGGGAGGAAGGGTAGGAGCAGCAGCCTGTGTACAGTAAAAGGAGCTGACCATCAGAAGGCAACAAGTCTCATGCCCTGCCCTGGACGGTGACCCTTCCCTGTGGAATTCTCCCCTCTGACCTCCAGATCATTAATCCTGGGGCTGCCAAATGACAGTCATCCATCACGCCTCCTGACGAGCATCCCAGCCACCGTGAAAGGACCTGGCCCCGCCCTCCCAGCGTCCCTTGGTGCTCATTAGTAGCTCTTCCTGCCTGGTGCCAGGTTTCCTAATCAAGTCCCTGGCTCCTCTCACTTCCCCTTGGGACCAGTAGGCAGAAGCTGCTCTGACCCACCCTTTTCTGGGGCCAGGGAGGGGGTGGGTGATAGTGGGAAGAGAATTGTTGAGTGGCTCTACCTTCCCCTGAGACCTGTGTGTCCAGTAGCTCCATCGACATGGTGAGGCACACAGGAGGGAAGGGAGTCGAGTCTTTGTCCTGCAGCAGGAGAGGAGAAGGCAGGCCACAGATGAAGGCACACGCTGTATATGGATGGCAGTTGGGAGCTCCCAGACCAGGGAGGCAAGGAAGGCTTCCCAGAGGAGTGGAAGTTGCCAAATCATGGAAAAAATCCCAACATGTACTGCCAGCAAAAAACACAAAACACTTGGAATTCATCTCATCTGGCATTGTATTTACCAGATAGGAAAACAGATCCAGAAAGGCTAAATCTCTTGCCTGAGGTCACAAAACGTGGGAGTTAACCCTGTCTCCCTTGACCTAGAGAACTGATTCTAGTCAGGTAGTTTCCAGGCCTGGGGAGCTTGAGTCAAATCCCACTTCTAAGTAGATGCATGAATACCATTTTCCATTGCAAGTAATGGTAAGCGTACCCGGAAGTCTTACATTCCCCTCCCCTTCTTATTGGACAATCACAGGAACCCCCATCAACCGGATCCCCATCATGGCCAAGCAGATCCTGGACCTGTACATGCTGTACAAGCTGGTGACAGAGAAAGGAGGCCTGGTGGAGATCATCAACAAGAAGATCTGGAGGGAGATCACCAAAGGCCTGAACCTGCCCACTTCCATCACCAGCGCCGCCTTCACCCTCAGGACCCAGTGAGTGGCCAGGGCTGGGGAAGGAAGCCAGAGAAGCTGGGGAAAGGGGATGATTTAGCCCCGAGGCAGGGAGGAAGGAAGGAAATTCCATTGTACAGTAAGCCAGAGGAGTGAATTCCTGAGCCAGTGGGAAACTCAAGAGATGACTGCTTTGCTAGACCAGGTAATAGAGTTACTCTTGACCTGGTGTCTCTTGTGGACTGGTTCTTTACCTTTCTGTTTTCCCTAAGCCTCACAGTCTATCCTGGAAGAGACATTGCACCATTTTTCAGATTACCAAAACTAATTCTCTGAGATTAAATAATTTGTCCAAGGCCATCCCAGCCCCTAAGTGGTCAACCTGAGATTCAAACCTGGGGTCCTAGGCTCCTATCTCAAATCCACACGCTCTCTGGTGTTGCTCCCAAGGAACACTACCCCAGGCAGCCATCCCACCTGACACCCAGCCTGCACTCATTCCCCATGAGGTTGCTGCCCTAAACCAAGAGGAGTAGTGGAGAATGAGAGCCAGAGACAAGTTTCTTCTTTTGAAACACAGGGATGAACAGTTGACATATCAGTCAGATAGTGTGGCATGGCCTTATTCAATGGAGAAGGGTTTTATTTAGTAGAACTTTTCCAGTAGAAGTTGGAGACAGCTGTAAGCAGAGTAGCAAGCTTCTCCAGAGAGACTTGCTTCTTGGAACATAGGCCACAAAAGACAGAACTCCTAGGTCTTGTGCACAGTGGAGAGGATTGTTCCCTTCAGACCAGCCTAACACACAGTGAGGAGATCAAGAAGACAGGAAGGCTTGGGCCTCATATCCCTCAAAGCACCAAAGTAAATGTACAAATATTGCTGAGATGTTACTCATTTCCCTTAATGAATAGTGCCTACGATTTGAGCCATGTTGCAGGTGGATAGGAGTAGGAGGATCCTGGGCAGTGCGTCCAGTGGCCCCAGACTTTGCAAGTACACCAGGCACCCTATTCTTTGTCTGATAGAGGCTGCTCCCAGAGACCATTGCCAAGCCTGGGCAGTCTATGCCCCTGGTTTGGGTGGTTCTCCTTGCTTCTTCCTTCCCTGCAGGTACATGAAGTATCTCTATGCCTATGAGTGTGAGAAGAAGGCCCTGAGCTCCCCTGCTGAGCTGCAGGCTGCCATCGACGGCAACCGCAGGGAGGGCAGGCGGCCCAGCTACAGCTCCTCCCTCTTCGGCTACTCACCCACTGCTGCCACTGCTGCTGCTGCTGGGCCCCCTGCTCTTCTCTCACCACCCAAGATCCGCTTCCCAGTCCTGGGGCTTGGTTCCAGCAGTGGCACCAGTGCCAGTGGCCCTCGGCTGTCCCCAGCAGCCACTCTCAGGAAAGGTCAGCAGGACCTTGGGGAGAAGGGAAAACCCTGTGTCCCTGTGTCTGAGATGGGGCTGTGGGTGGCAGGGGTGAGTGTGGGCCAGCTCCAGTTCCTTTGCAGGTGACGGGGTCCCCACAACCACAGTGCCCGTGCCAAATCGCCTGGCTGTGCCCGTAGCTCTGGCAGGGCCACAGACAGGGAGTCGGGTGGCCGCATTGGAACAGCTGCGGGAGCGTCTAGAGTCAGGGGAGCCAGCGGAGAAGAAGGCAGCAAGGCTGTCGGAGGAGGAGCAGCGCCTGGTACAGCAGGCCTTCCAGCGTAACCTTTTCAGCATGGCACGGCAGCTGCCTGTGAAGATCCGCATCAACGGCAGGGGTGCGTGTGCCGCTGCAACCTCAGCTCCACTCCTGGGGTGGAGTGGGCAAGGTGCGCACTCCTGACCCTGAGAGAGCCACGTGGGTTCTCGGGCTGCTAGGATGTGGGGGCAGAGGGAGACGACACCAGAGGCTGCCTCAGGCCACACCCTGTTCTCTTCGAGGAGCTAGGGGTGGAGGAGGCTATGCTCCCTCCCCAGTGACCTTTTGATCCGTCTAAACCAAAGGGCTTGGCTGCCCTGTGGTTCCTTATTGGATACAGGCCAGCACAGGACACAGTGGTCGGGTTCAGGAAGGTGACAGCCTGTCATCCTGAGGCCCAGCAAGGTGCCAGGGCCCCTTGGGAACATAAGGCTGTAGGAAACACATTTGGCAGCATAACTGATATCTTTTCCCTTCCCCTCCACATTTTTCGAGTGCCCACTTGTCTTCACAAACCACACACACTACGTTTCCTTTGTTCCTCCTATGCTTCCCCCTCACACACCTGCCCTTTGCCATTCTTGCCAAGGTGAGCAAGTGATGATGAAGGAGGCAGGTGTGAAGGGAGCAGCCACTTTCAGCCCCACTTGCCCAATCAGGGAGAGGACAGGTGTCCTGGCCCTGCACAATACCAGGCTAAGAGAAAGGCTGCTCAACTGAAAGAAGTCTTAGCTCTCCATTGTAAAAAGGCAGAGCCTGATGGAGGGCCAGGTGCTGGGGTCAAAAGCCCCCTCTCTACGGGACTCACCATTAAGGGGCAATAGCATAGGGTGAGTCCCCAGGGTCAGAACTGGCCCTGTTGCTGTCTGGCTTCCGGGCTGATGTGTGGTGGGCCTGGTTAGGGTTTGTGAGCCAGGTAAACCACGCTGGTGCCTGCGGTTGGGCTAGGCCAGCCTGCTCGCTGGGAGAAGAGGGCATTGGGGATTTGGTGACCTTAGTCTCTGCCAGCCCATGAGCTCAGAAGGCAGTCATGTGGGTGCTCTCTAACAGCACCGGAGGACAGTGGGAATCCTGACCTGGCCAGTTTCTCCCTGCCCTAGCAGAAGACAGAGGAGAGGCCTCAGCTGCTGCGCTGAACCTGACCCCAAGCAGCATTGGAAGCATTAACATGTCTGTGGACATCGACGGCACCACCTATGCAGGTAGGCCCCAGCTGGTCACTGTGCCATCCCTTGCTGGCCCTCCCATCACCCTCATGTCCAAATGCAACCAGGATACTTCCTTCCAGACTGTTAGCAGGATGACAGGTCCCCTCTGGGTTGATAGAAACCCTTCCTCTAACCATTTTGATCAATGTGAGGATTCCTAATCAGTGCTACATCCATACCCTTAGACGTTGTACTGTAAGTCAGAGTGTGCCATGCACAGGTCTCCTTTCTGACTGCAAAGCACTCATAGTGCATTATCTGTCATTTCCTGGCTTGAAAGAGGACTAAGGACTGAGACCCCAGCAGCAGAATCTGAGTGCTGCTGGATCAGCCTGTTTGGTTAGTTGATTTAGCACCTTGACCAAGTCTTTCCAAGGTGTTTGACTCAGTACTCACAGAAACAGCATTCCTTTTCTCCTGCCATTTCACTGGTTAGGGATGCGGGTGGGGATAACCTGTCTGAATCTTGTCAAGCACCCCTGGGTGACTGGTGACCATAGGTCTGGCCAGGGTATCGCCTGCCTGTTTTTCTGAAGGTGTTGATTGTCACCAGCTGGGGAGGCGGCCAGTGTAGGGGTGTGAAGCCGTGCGGCCATACCTTCCTTGGAAATGCGTTTCCCCAGGCCTGCGCCTGTTCATTTAAATCTTCTGTTCTGGAGGTTGCACCCCATCCAGCACCACCCTGCAGGCTTCCTGAGGTCCCCTTCACATTCTGGATCTCTGCTGCGACAACTGCCACAGGGACATCTGCCAGTGCCTGGGTCTGCATGCCACATTCAGAGGACTTTACCTGGCCCGGGAGCTCCTAGAGAACATAAGGCCTAGTGGCTCATGCTCCCTTGGGGAGCTGTGGGTTGGGAGCCTAGGGGCTGGGATTTAGGTCCTAGGGAGAGCAGGAAATAGGAGCTGGGGACCAGACCTTTGTGCCTTCTCTTCTCTCCAGGAGAAGAGGATACAACTTCTTCCCTCTCAAGAGTGGGAGGGTCAGGAGCTCAAGCTTCCTACACCCCTGAAGAGAAGGGAGCCAGTTGCCTATTCCACCTGCTGTTGTCCCTGCACCCCATGCTCTTTCCCAGGGGTTAGGGTGAAGGTCTTGAGAGCACCCCAGCCCGGCGTGTCCAGAGCTCCCTTCCACCACCTCTGCCTCTGTCAGTCCTGCCCTGCAGCCTCCCCTCCTCTATCACCCATGCTCCTCTTGCCCCAGAGCATACAGAAGCTCAGATCTCAGGAGTCTGCTCCCGCTCAGAGCCTAAGGGCCTCCTTGACCGCTGTGGGTAGCATTAGGCTTCCCAAATAGTACCAAGGCCCTGTCATGCTGCCCTGCTTCCCACTTACCTTTCTAGCCCCATCTGCTGTGGCCCTGGTCACTGATACTCCCTGGTTGCCCTTTCTGCTGTGATCTGGTCTCCGGCTCCCTGGGACCTCCTTCCCTCAGCTGTTTCCTCTTTCCAGCTTTTGAGCACCCTCCCTGCCCCTAGGACCCCTCCATGCTCCTACAGCACCCTGCCACAGTGGTCTCAGGCATTTACCACATCTTGTTTGTGCCCTCGGCAGCCCAGAAGAGCACGAGGGCCTCTATCTGCATCCAGCATGGTGCCAGGTGCAAGGGCCACTAGGGAGGCCTGTAGTGGGCACTTGTTGGTGACGGAGCCGCATCTATTGCCCTAGGTGTGCTGTTTGCCCAGAAGCCCGTGGTCCACCTCATCACAGGCCCCACTGCCCAGAGTGTGGTTGGCAGCAGTTCTGGCGGCGGCAGCAGCAGCAGCAGCGGTGGCTCTCACTGCTCACAGAGTCCTACCTCGTCCCGGGGCACCCCCAGTGCGGAGCCCTCTACCAGCTGGTCCCTCTGACGGCAGCACCTAGCTGCCCCTGCCCTGCCCTCCAGCCAGGAGTGGCAGAAGCTGCCGCGAAGAATTTACCTCATCTCACGGAGCCCGATGTTCAGGGACTGGGTGTGTCCATCTCTCCAGGCTCCATTCAGGTCCTACTGTCCTCTGGGGGGCGGGGAGAGGTGGGAGGGGCAGGACAGGGCAGCGTTGTCCAATCAGGGATCATCCTGGAGGCCTGGGCAGGGGTCTGGGCTCCCCCTTCCTCCAGGGTCCCCGCCCACCTCCCACCCCGGGGCACAGTGTATCGACAATCTGTAAGCCGACACAGGGCTGGATGCCTCCACTTCCTTCCCCCTTAATTTATTTCCCTTCCTCTGCTTTCTGCCGTTACCCCAGGGTCACTCGTCTCATCCTCTGTCTAGCCCCCCTCATTTTTTTTTTTTTTTGGTACCGGGGATCGAACTCAGGTCCTTGCGCTTGCGCAGCAGGGGGCGAAACCACTGAGCTAAAGCCCTGGCCCCAAGCCCCCCTCATTTTTAAATCCTATGTGGGCTGCTGGGGCCAAGCTCCTGCCTTCATGGCTCTCAGCTCCTGAGCATGGGCCCCACCCTCTCAAACCTCCTGTCTGGTTTTGGTTTCCATAGCCTGGGTCCCTCAAATCCAAATGTGCCATCAGACCTTAGGCCCCCATGTCCCCCTCTAGTGGGGGACACCTAAGAGAGTACATGAGGGCAAGCTTCAGGCCCAGGCCTCTGGGCATCTGCCAGGATGGAGGAGGGCTTGGGCTGCCTGGGCCCTGGTACCCACTTCACAGGACCCCATGCAACCCTCCCTTAACCCTCAGGCTCTCCAGTTGCCCTTGTTGGCTACTCTCCCACCATAGTTCCCTTGTTCCTGCCCTGTCACAGTATCTTGGGGCCATCTCTGCCCCACCAGCCCCAGATGTGCTGATATCAGGTCACTGAAATACCTCAGATTTGTAATTGTTGATGTTTGATTCTTCAGGAAGTATTTGCATCTCTGAAATCTTTTTTATATATGTTTTGCTGACTTTCGTATTTTATTTTTAAATTTTTGTTGTTGCTGTTGTTATAGCACCAAAGAAATAAGAAAAAAGAGCGAATCACCCCAGCCAGGTGCGGTTGGTGGCCAGCCCCTTGGTCCTGCCCATGCCCCCTGGAAGGAGGGAGCAGGTGGGGTGACTCAGGGATCCCCGAGGCGGTAGGGTGGGGTGGAGAGGCCTGCACTTGCCTGCAGGGCCAGAAACGATACCAGTCCCAGGATGTCCCTGACCATGCCACTGCCCCTGCCCTGCCATGCATGCCATGGGCCATGCTGCCTCCCAGAGCCCACCACCAGGGAGTGGGAATGGGAGATGCCAGGGCTGGTGCAGGCTACCCCTGCCGGTAGACAGGGTGCCACTTGCACAGGCCACTTCTGCCAGGCACCTACAGTGTTCAGAACGCCGCCACTGTGACTCCTGGGCTTGGGCCCCACTCAGTCCTGTCCAGGAAGAGAAAGGGAAACCAGAAGCTCATGCACAGACATACCTCAGCCCAGCCAGCCCCTCTGCTGGCCTGCGCCTCCTCCCTGCCCTGGCCCTCTGCATGCCTGTGCATGCACACACGCATGTTCACACACAGCCCGCCCACCCGTCCACTGCAGGCTGCCCTCCTCTGCCTGCAGAAGCCTTGCCCTCCCAGCACAGGTAGGCTGTGGTAGGGAAGGGTCGAGGTTCTGGTGCCAGTGCAGAGGCCCAGTGGCTAAAGCTGCCCCACCTCCCTCTGGAGTGTGTCAGACACTTGGCCAGAGTGTCTTTCTCAGGGTTTGGTCATGAAGGATGGACTCTCCCACCCAGAGGACGCAGGGATGTGCGTCACGGACCCTCCCCTTCTTCCCCAGCCATGTGCCCAGCCTCTCCCTCAGCGTCCCTCAGCGTCCCAGGCCAGGCCCGGCCTGAGCAGAGTGTCTAAGGGTGCTCTGTCCCCTGTCCTTCTTTGTACTCCAACAGCAGTGTGGTAGCACACAGGTAGCCTAGGCAGTAAGTACATACCTCAGACGTTCTCACAGCAAGTGTCTGTATATGGTGTGGTTCTTTTCTTACATGTTCTGAATGTTTATATTTCAATAAACCTCTACCTCTTCACATGGCAGGCCTCAGTTGCTTTGCTGACTCCTCCACTGTGCAGGGGCCTTCAGGGTGACGGGGCCAAGTGGCTGCTCCTCATCCCTGGGCTTCCCTGACCACCTCCTGTCCTCCCCAGAGCACTCGCTTAGCTTATCTGCTGGTGGCAAGGTGCTTGGCATGGCGAGTTGGTCATCGAGACCGACTCTAGTGAGTCACATCGGTGTCATGACAGGCCCAGGCCCTAAGACATCTTCTTGGCTCAGTAAGCCCCAGCTGAGCACCTGCTGGGCCAGATACGGAGAAGGCATAGTGTCAGGACAAAGACTTTGGGTATTTTGTTTGTTTGTTTTGCAGTACTGGGAATTAAACCCAAGGCTTTAGAAGTGAACTGTAACCCCTGCCTTCATGTTTTAGTTTGAGACAGGGTCTTGCTAAATTGCCCAATCTGGGCTAAAACTTGAGATCCTCCTGCCTCGGCCTCCCAGAGCACTGGGATTACAGGTGTGGACCATCATTCTCAGCTACAGACTGGTTCTTTAGGATCCTACATAATCTGGACTCTTTAAAAGTAGGCTGCTGTGGGCAGGGAAGCTGGGGCAGCTCAGCAGCCATCTCTGGGTGGCTTCAGAGGTGGCATTGTTTCAGCTGGAAGAGCAGGTCTGGTCTGTGTGAAGCAGCAGCATCTGTGGGCAGTGCTGAAGGCCAAGGGTGGAGGTGAGGTTTGGGGAAAGCACAGCTGGCACCAGAATGGACCCAGGCTGAGGGACTTGAGTCCCCCCTTCTGAGCCTCAGAAGATGTGTTTTAACTCAGGTGAAGGCTCAGGCTCTTTTAAAAGGATGACCTGGAGCCTGGTGCCATGCTGTATGTGGACCATGGGACAGACACCCCTGGAGGACTTGGGCCAGACCCAGATTGCTCAGTCCCTCTGCCTGGACACACGTCCTGGGGATGGCTTGAAGTGTGCAAAGGTGAAGCCCTGGTGCTGGGACAATGTGCGTGCACCTGTCTGTGCCACCCTCTGTGGCGATCTGGCAGAGACCTCTTTCTCTGCCATTGGAAGTGCTAGAAAGAAAGGTGACATCAGGACAGTCCTGAGCTGCTGCTTTCTGATCTTGAGAATCTTTTGAAAGAAATAGCCAACATTTTAGTACTTTGCTGGCACCCAGTCATGGGTATGACACTTCCAGCTACCAGTGTCACATGGATGGTGAGTGGGCCACGCTGGGGTGCAGAGAGGTGACGTACTCCAGGACCTTGATATGGGGGGAGGTGCACAGGGCCATTGGGGGGCCAGGCTGGGGGCAGCTACTGAGCAAGGCCCTTTAAGGATTGGGGTGGTTTTTTAATGCTTAGTTACTAAGACAAAAGCAAAAGGAAGGCTATGGAGTGGGAACAAATTCACAAACAGGTGATTTTCACAAGAGGAACTATGCAGTTCCACCTCACTGGTGACCTGGGAGATGCCCAGGATCCCCTTGCACACATCAGAGTGGTACCACCTCCAGTGTCATTTGGTGCCTGACCAGGACACGCCAACAGGACTCACTGCACTGAGTGTGCACAGGCCTCAGGGCCTGGGACTGTACCACTGGGTTTGCTCCCTGGACATTGGGCAGGAGGGGTCCATGCACACTTATGCACTCGGCTCTCTACACAGGTTGGTGCATTTCATCCTCTGCCTGTTTGTAAGGTGGGGCCATTTTCCCCTTCTGCAGATGGGAAAATGGGCACAGAGAGGTTGAGCAGCAACCTGAGGTCCCAAATCCCCAGGCAGGGACACCCAGGCCCAGTGCCTCACTTGATGCTATCCCATGAGCTACCTGCTCATTTTACACATGAAACTGAGGAACAGAAATGTACTTGAGGTCACAGATCTAGTAATGGTATAGCTGAGGTCAGGCTCCAAAATGCTCTTTAGCCTCTCCCCAATATGGGGCAGGCCCAGGGGTGTCTGTACCCAGTCTCTGCTGTGCCATGTTGCCAAGGTTCCCCCAGAGAGCCCTTAGCAGCTGCAAGGAATGCTTTCCTGGCCATACCCAGTGACCACCCTCCCTCAGTGTGCTCCCCAGAGCCAGTGGAAATGAGGACCCTTAGGAAAGCTATGCCTCTAATGCAGGGAAAGTCTGTGGAACCCTGCTGAAAAGGGAGGGGACATGGTGCCTGAGGAAGGGGCTTCTGAAAGAGGCAAGGAGAGAAGGGATCCTCAAGCAGGAGCCAGAGCAGGGAGGGTGTGAGGGCTGCTGAGCTTGGAGACAGTGAGGTACAAGCCCTAGCAGCCACGGGGCTACAGAGAGACAAGGACAAAGGGAGCCAGGTGTGGGTGCACACCTGCAATCTTGAACTTGGGAGGCTGAGGGGCAGGATCGAAAACACACCAGACCCACACCAAGAAAAAATAAGGCCAAGGTGGTGGAGAGGGCTGGCTCCCCTCACCAGGTGAGGCGGGGCCTGAGGGGCAACAGGACAGGCTCTAGTTGGGAGTGTGTTACGGTTTAGGTCCAAACTGTCCCCCCAAAGTGTCACATTTGGAGGTGTGGTCTGGGCAGAAGTGGGCTGCTGGCGGCATGACCTGGAAGGATGTATTGTTCCCAGTTCCTTGGTTCACTGCTTTCTGGCCACCTTGGGGTGTGCAGCTGTCTTCTGCCAGGCTCTTTCCACCATCCAGGAATAATGCTGTACTGGAGCCAGTCGGCCATCGGCTGAATCCTCTGAAACCATGAGCAAACTAAACTTCAAATCACAGGTGCCAGGTTATTTTGTCCCACTGACAAAGTTAATGAAGACAGAGTGGCACTGGGGGTGTTTGCTCCTGAAGACCCTTGACCAAGTAAGTATCCAGCAGGCAGGCAGGTAGGTAGAAGAGAAGGATTTATTGTCTCAGTCTCTGGTGGGTTTGGGGTTGGTTTTTTTGCAGTGCTGGGGTGGAACTCTGGCTCAGGTGTCCCAGGCAAGCTCTCACCATGGAGCTGCACCACAGCCCAAGACAGGGTCACCCTCATGCGGGCCATAGGAAGATCCAGAACCTAGGATACCATAGAAGGTATCCTCTCCAAAGGCCACCTTGAAGGTCAGCTTGATATCCTCCCTATGCAGGGACTCTGGTCTGCCCTGGGATAGTCAGCTCCTTTTGCTTCACTGAAACCTAGCTCTATGTAGTGAGGAATAGGGTAGCTGGAAGTTCCCAGGTTTTATGCATCCAGCCTTCAGCCCTAGAGGGACTACTCTGGCTCTGGGTCCCAGGATTCAGGAGGGCCCTACGGGCCTCACTGGCTCAGCACCCAGCTCAGGAGCCAGCTTGCTAGGCTGGGGTAGAGCTTGGAAAACCCAGTGGGGAAGGAACAGTGTTGCAGGCCACCTCCTCCAAGCACATCACTGCCTCCATCAGGAGTGGGAGGGATGGGGCTATGACAGAGCTGCAGTTCCAGGGGCCAGGGCCTGCCTGACCAAGCTCTGCAGGAGAGCATATTCATAGCTGTGGGGAGAGGAGAAGATGTGTGACCAGGTGACCTCAAATAGACCTTGCTATAGCCAAGGAGGATGGCAGTGCCCCCATCTCAGAACAGGCAGTGTGGCGTGATCAGCCACCTTTATGGGCAGATAGGGGACAGGGGCTTAGCTGCTGTTTGGCTGTGTGACCTAAGGCAAATGACCACCTACTCTGGGCCGTCTCCTGTGTGAAACAGTGTAGTGTTACCTGAGGCACAGCGAATAAGCATTGATTTTAAAATGTTCAAAGCCCAGAATATGAGACCTTGGCCAGGAAGACCAAGGCCACTGTGCTAGCACTGGGCCAGCCAAGCTCCACAAGGATCCTGCGCCTCCTGGCTACCCGTGCCCAGCTCCACAGAGAATCTGGGACCTCAGCAATCCCAGGCATCTTGGGCCCCATGGCAGACATGGGGCAGGGGAAGGTTTCTGCAGGGAGGCCCTGACTGCAGAGCAGGGCTATGACTGTCCCTGCGTGCTCTGGACCACAACCACCACCTTGCCCAGTAGGTCCTCAGGCTCCCAGCTATCCTTGATACTCCTCTGTGGTGCCAGGGCTGGGGTACTGAGGGACACACAGGTGCCCAAGCAGGGGGAGACTGAGCAGAGGCCCTAGCTGATGAGGGCATGGAGGCACAGGGGTCACTCCTTCCACTTCTTGAAGGGTCCTCAAATGCAACTTTCAGGCGTTTCAAGGTGGCTGGAGGCTCCAGTCCTGGTGCCCAAGGCCTTGGTGCTTCCTAAGGAACACTCCCAACCTTTTCCCAAAGGTCCCCAGAACACAGCAAAGACCCATGAGTTCCTCCCCGCAGGGACTCAAGGGTAAGGAGCCTGTCAGCAGAACAGCAAACGCAAGCCCACACTGTCCCCAGCCATGGATGCGTCATACTGGCCACCATCACAGCTGCTCATCACACCCCACTGTGTCAGGGCTTAGTAAGCCCTGACAAACGAAGCCTTGCTGATCGGATCCCAAGCTGAGGCTCCCAGGTGCCTCGTGTGTTCCTCTCCATGTGTCTCTGTGCACTTCTTGGAGTGTGCATGTGTCTAGAACCAGTACACGTCTGTGTCTCTTGTGCACATGTACATTTGCTCAGGGAACTAAACAAAGAGCTTATTGGGAAGAAGAGTTTCCAGGCTGCCATGGAAATCGGGTGGACACACCCTGGGACACCCGAGCCCATTCCACATGTCACAGTACCCCTTGTCGATGCCATTTCTGACCTGCCTCCTCTCCCTGCCTTTGTATATGCTATTTCCCCCACCCCCTGAAATGCCCTATCTACCTTCCTTCTCCACTGTGAGGGTCAGAGAGGCTCAGAAATCCTCCTGGGGAAGGACTTTGCTATCTGTTGCCCCCTGCCCCATTCAGCTCCCATGATGCCTCTCCCCTCATCGGGCACATTAAGTATAACTGCCCACTCCATGACACCTCATGACTGCATGCCCCGAGCCATATGCTTTAGGGACAAGGAGTAGGCTGGTCTGACCTTGATTCTCCTGTGCAGGAAGAGGGCCAGGTGTGTAGTAGGT